ATTTTTGCTTGAAAACGGGGTTACTATTCATGCTACAGTAACTTTCGAAAATTTCATATAAATCTCATAAAAATTAACCTTTCATCACTATAACAATTTCCAAAATTTATTCAACAAAATAAATTTAACATTATCAAATTACATGCCACTATCTAAATCAAAATCCATCGTAGGATGTCTTACTGATATTTAAATATACCTCTTAATGCTTGTTGTCGTTCTGAACTCTTTATTTTTATTCTTTTCTTTTTACATACTCGTGAAAATCATCACACGCTAAGTATAAACTTAGTGAGGCAATTAAAACAATATATAGTGCAATACAATTCATGCATGAATTTAGATTTCAAATCCAATGCCATAAAACCATGCTAATAGCATCTTCAATATTTTACCATGATCAATATAATATAAATTTATTACCTTTTATCCCATAAGCTCATAAGCTTATTTTTACCAAAATACTTACCATTTAAATTCCATAAGCTCGTAAGCTTATTTTTTTTCAATATACTTGCCATTATTTCGTAAGCTCATAAGCTTATTTGCATGGTTACCATTTATTAACCAATAAAACATAATCCATAGCCAATAGCCCATATTAAACCTTGAGGACCTTAGGTATACGAGTAAAATACATGCATGATTTTCAATATCAAAAATCAAATTTCCATAAAATCATTTTACTATCATATCCAATATAACACCCTGAGGACCCTGGGTATACGAGTAAGATACCTGCACCGTAGTGCTAAACCTGCACTAAGCTTACGCCATAGTGCTAATCCGGACAATACACATAAGGTCGTGCCCACCACCTACACTAAGCTTTCGCTATAGTACTAATCCGGACATAAACCTGCACTTAGTGTCCTTACACACTATAGTGCTAATATAAACCTGCAGCTGCTATACTCTATGGCAATATACCCTGTCCCTCAATGACTTACTTGGGCATATAGTCTATTTTATTTAATCCATCCATGGCAACGTATATTATCAAATTTAACATTGGGCAGTTCATACCCGAAAACATTCATGGTAAAATATCACATTTTTCATGATCAATGCATTATAATTTCTTACGGTGACATCTCAATGTCATGTCAATTTATAAAAATGACATAATATCATGCTGATATAAACAAGGTCGACTTATCGCATGTCTTCCCGATGATGTATAAAACATCCATGTATAATTTCATGCATGTATTGCACTCACATTGACACTTTATATCTTTCAAAATATTTGTGCCTCACTATTGTCGACAATACACCCTTTTTATACTTGAATTGCTTCAATTGCAAATCAACCATGATTTGTATAAATCAGAAATTTATAATAATAAATATGTTAGTATTGTACTAACATAACCATATCCCAAAATAATTCCATAGCATACTTCAAACTCATTTCCACTAAATAATGTAGTATTTATTAATTCCTTTAACATTGGAACCCACTTTTCTAATTTACTCAAAATGGTCCTTCACCATTTTATCACTTAGATTATTAATACTAAAAATTCCAGTATTGAAATTATTTCACATCTAACACTCATTTCAATTCTCAAACAACAATTCCCAACATAGTACATCAATTATACAACTCTTACACAACAACCCATAAATTTCCAGAATTCAGACAACTCGCACTACCCTTAAAGAATCATTATTCTGTATTGATATAGACAATGTAATTCAATTCCGTTTCTTTCGTTAAAAACTAGACTCGAATACGAATATCCATATAAAAAACTCCTTCTAATTCATTATGTACAATTTATGGTGAATTTTCAAAGTTCACCAACAGAATCTGTTTTGTACAGAATTCTGTTGTCCGACTTTTCTGACCTTTCCTCAATTTAAAATTCATATATATATTTGTATACAACTTGAAATTGATCTCCGTTTGTTTTAAAAAAAACTAGATCCATATATGAACACAATATATAAAAATAAATTCCAAATTATTTTTATATATTTTCTGGTAAATTTTCGAACCTACTGCCAGAATCAAAATCCAAACTGTTTTCTTTAATTTCATCCTTAGGTTCTTCATCAATTCTTACAACCAATTATTAAACTTTGTTAAACACTGTGACAATTCTTCCACAGAATGAAGAAAAATCCCTTTTTTGATCGATTTCAATCTCGACTTTATTTTCAACATTTTCAACTTTCAAACCTTTATCTTTAATTCAAACATCTGAACATAGTCAGAATTATCATACATTATTAAAAGTAACTTTACTCCCAATGAACATCATCACAGTATATATACAAATATCAGTAACTTTTGACATCCTGGTGGCATGTATACACTTTTTAACTCAAAAACAACCTCGGTTTAGTCCTAGAATCGGCTAAACCTGTAGCTCTGATGCCAATAAATATTACAATAATATTTCCAACCATTTTATAACATCCTTCAAATTTTTGTAAAATTTCGATTCGATCAGAATTTACCGATTCCTTATCGTCTTTAACCCTTTTTAGTTTTTCTTTACTAAAACTCCAAAACTAAAAATATGATTTCTATAAAACTCCACTCTCAAGAGTATACCATCTATTTATGGAATAAAATTCTTTTTAGGAAATTATCACTTAATTCCCTAAACTTTTTCCCAAACTTTCTACTTTGACCATCAAACTTTCAAAATTTTCATTTTGGTCATTGTCTAAATTTTTGGGGTATTACAGATGGAATGTGTGAGTTTCCGGCCTCCACCGCTCTACTAAGACAGAAATAAGGTCTGGTTCTATCTTACAGTGATCCTGATATATACCTAGGTGACCGAATCCAGACTCTACTAAATATGACATTACACGACATTACACGAGTAGGTATAACTAACTTAAGGTTCCTAATAAAATGATATAATATATGGCCTCTCTCTTAAAATATAAATAATTACACAAATTAATTTTTAAACTAATAATCATGTATTAAATAAATTAATTAATTAAATTAAAACGTTAAAATGTTACCGTATCAGCAAAGTATCGAGATATATGGTTTCCATTCAACCAAAGTAATCCGCCTTCCATTTTATATCTGTAAAAAAATTAATTAAATAAAATATTAAACAATTAAAATAATTAAATAAATTACTGAAAAGTACTAAATATAATAAAATATACCTTAATAAGAGAATATAAGAGTATTTGAGAGAAGTTGAGAGGATTTGGTGTGATGAAAGTGATTGAGAATGTGATATTTATAGGGGGATGGTGGGTGTGAAGGGGGTAACTTGGTAATTAAGGGTATAGTGCGGCCCCTGCCTTTTTGACGCGTGTCAGAATCACAGGTAATGCGCGTCCCTTGCGCCGCGCTATACCCTTAATTATCAACTTGCCCCGCGCCATACACACGTGTATCTATGTCAGCATAAGGCGCATCGCAGGGGGCGCGTTTTACCCCACGTGACGCCAAATCAGCGTATAACGCGCTGCAGGGAGCGCCTTACTGCAAAGAGTGTTAGATCAAAAAATATAATCTGACCGATGTTAGATTAATAAATATATGGGTATTTTTTTAAAAAAACGCCTAAGGGTATACACCAAAACGATTCAATTATTGGTTCAAAAAGAAAAACAATTCAATTAAACCAGATACCAACTCTTCTGAAAGGATAAAGATAAAGCCAAAATAAATAAATGAAAAAATAAATAATTACTAAAATCATTACTTTTTTAAAGCATAAGTTTGAGAAACATTGGAACCTCCATTCCAAATATCTGCCAACATTTACTTATCCACTACCGATTTTTCTATCTCATCCAATCCGTCTCTGCTGCCTTTTCTTTTTATTTGATTGGTACTACACTAATTGCCCATGGGTCGAACTATTGGTCAACTTTTTAATTTTTTATTTAAATAATTTAAGTGATTATAAGTTTATATTTATTTAATTAATATACATATATCCTATAAATGTAGATATTCTAACACAATATATAGAGAGAATAATATTTTTTTACTAATAAAATTATTTAATAAATACATCAATTGTTTTAAATGGCACGCATGCCAAGGAACAATATACTACATTTACTTGGAATTAAAGTGCCACACATCTTCCAATTTAAAATTTAAAGACATGTAAATATAAAATATCTTTAAATTTAGCCAAAGAAAGGGGAGCTTTTTTAACTCATACTGCCAGTGACAACTGGACAGCTAAGAGCAACAGCTGTACTTATCGTCGTGGCATTACGGTCGCTTTCCAAACACAGAGCAACGGCTACATTTTTTTTAAAAAATGTTCGAGGTTAATTGTTTTATATATCCTCAAATTTTATATTGATTCCATATTTTTTTAACATTCTGATTAAATATTTAAAGTATTACTAGTACCGTAGCAATCAAGATATTCCAATAGTTTAATAACTAGTTTTGAAGTTAAATATTTTCTCAAATTTGACATAAAGAAGTGTTCTCTCAAATTTTATTTGACATTGTCTAATCGTTAGTTCCTCGTATAAAATATGTTCATTCATTGATCAAACTTTATAACTTGATCAAAATATTTTTAAATATACTTAATATTCTAAATTAAAGTCGACTTAAATAGTTAAATGAATGATTGTTATCTCTAAAGATTCCGAGTTTAAGCACGATGTTTGTAGGGATGTTAGAACATTTATTATTAAATTATTAAGAAAATATAGAACAAATAATATATTTAGTCAATTCAGACTAATAAAAAAAAGTTGATGAAAGAACTTATTAATTAAAGACTCAAATCACAATAAAATTTAAAGTTTAGAGGCCTATTTAGAATTTGAGAGTGGTTAGAGGATATTTTATAAGATTAACCCAAAATATGCTTTGAATATCTCACGTGGCTTAAAATAAACTCACTTGACGTGGCTTCTGATGTGGCCATTGAAATCGGGGTCTGATCCTTGTAAATGAAGCTAATGGAATTTTTGGCTATAAAAATGAGAACAACTCTCTGCTTCCGAGTAGAAAGTTTTTACCGAGTAATTTTCGGAGTAGAAGTTTCTCTGTCTTTCTCTCTGTTGCTTCCATGGCTGTATTGCTTAAAATGTGTGTGCCTATTAGTTTCTTTGTGGGTCTAACGTTGCTGGGATTGGGAAGCTCAGCCAAGTTTGATGAGCTGTTTCAGCCTGCTTGGGCTAACGATCACTTCCTCTATGAAGGAGACCTCCTTAAGCTCAAACTCGATAACTATTCTGGTAATTTTCCCATATTTTTCAGTCCCTGTTTTTCATCATCCTCGTATATTATTCTGCATGCTGCTTGAAGTCTTGTTCTTGTTAAAGCTATCAACTTATTGACTAATGAAATGTTGGGCTGATAATGTATCAGGTGCTGGGTTTTCTTCGAAAAGCAAGTATTTATTTGGCAAAGTGAGCATGCAGATTAAGCTTGTGGAGGGAGACTCAGCTGGGACTGTCACTGCTTACTATGTGAGTATTTAGACTTTGATCACTATATCTAACCTGTTTTGATGTTGATAATGGTTTGTTATTTGGCGTATTTACTTTGATGTTTTCTTTGACACACAGATGTCATCGGACGGTCCGTATCACAACGAGTTCGATTTCGAGTTCCTAGGCAACACCACTGGTGAACCATACCTTGTTCAAACCAATGTGTATGTGAACGGTGTGGGCAATAGGGAGCAGAGAATGAACCTTTGGTTTGATCCCACCAAGGACTTTCACTCGTACTCCATCCTTTGGAACCAACGCCAAGTTGTGTGAGTATTTGTTTCTATCCTATCTATGGCCGTAAATGTGTCAATCTAGTTTAAGTATTGTTGAATTTAACTTAAAAATGTTAAAAAAATTGAATTTGACTCAACTCAGCAAACTTAAAATTTTCAAGTTTGATTCCAATTTAAAATAAAAAATTAAAACTTGAAATAGATATATTTTCAGATTTAGTTCGATTGCAGCTTGAATATGAATTGTAAATTCATGAAAAACCTTATATTGCATTGAAGAACAACATATAAATTTTAATATAATTTATAGCTTTAACTCATTAATAACTCAAATCAAGTTCGAGCTTGATTCGAACCTATTAGATTTGAGTCTTAACCGAACTTTAATTAAATGAATTCGAATAATTTACTATCTTTCTCGTCTTATTTATAGATATCCCGATCAAGACTCTTTTAGTAAACGGCATTGATGAATTTTCTATGTTTAAAACATGAAATTACTTGATAACATTGTTGGTGGGTATTGGTATATTTTGATCTCTGTGCATTTTTGGATATTTGCATTGTTTTTTCTTGGCAATTGGAATGATTTTGACGTATGTATCTGTTATTTTAATCATCAGATTTCTAGTGGATGAGACCCCGATAAGAGTGCACACCAATATGGAACACAAAGGAATTCCTTTTCCTAAAGACCAAGCCATGGATGTGCATAGCTCGATCTGGAATGCCGATGACTGGGCCACACGGGGTGGTCTAGTGAAGACTAATTGGAGCCATGCACCATTTATTGCCTCCTACAAAGGCTTCGAAATCGACGCTTGCGAGTGTCCGGTGTCGGCCAATGAGACTGCCAACAAATGCAAAAGCAGTGGTGAGAAAAGGTTCTGGTGGGATGAGCCAACAATGTCGGAGCTAAGTTTGCACCAGAGCCATCAGCTGGTGTGGGTCAGGGCCAACCACTTGGTCTATGACTATTGTACGGACACTGCTAGGTTGCCCGTCATGCCCGTCGAGTGTGAGCACCACCGCCACTAGTGGTGCGGCCTTCGAGGGTTTCTTGGGTACATTGTAAAATATGTTGGATGGCGTAAAACATGTACTCCCATGTTTCATATTTTGGTTCTCGTTTAGTTTTCCACATTGTATAATATATTCTCATGGTGAAAAAAGAGCCCCATACCCTGCAGCTTTCAAGAATTTCAATCAACTTGTATGAATGTTTGTGAAGGGTCGATTGATGGGAGAAAATTAAAGAAAACGTGTGAAAGTTTTCACAAAGTATATTATCTTTGAAAGGAAATTAAATTATGGGGACCAAAATAAAAAAGTTAAAAAGTTTAATTTTAAATCTTTAGCTTTTTTTTTTAACTACGATATTATCGGAGTCGGTGGTAATTTCAACGAATTTAATTTGGTTACATTTATTTGTTTGAATTATAAAAACTAAATTTGAAAGAAAATTAAAAAATTATAGACTAAAATAAAACGATAAAAAAACCAATTACATGCTATTTTTTCATTTTTTCATTTTTATTTCTTTTAAGTTAATTTTGGAATCCTAATGGAAAAGATAAAAAGAACCTTTAATTGTTGATTGGCGTGCCATTAATAAGTAATTTTTTTGAATAATTCTTACGTGAAAAGAGGGTAAGAAAATTTTTATTCGTAAAGAGTATTTAATATACAATCTAAAAAAGATAAAAGACGAACAAATTTTTTTTTAATTATATACTCCAAAGATTGTTGAAAACCGATTATTTATATTCTACACTTTTACACAACTACAACAATAAAACCCTATTCTCGTAATGAGATAAGGGGGAGGTAGGATAGTAGGCTGCCTTCAACGCCAAGTTGAGAGCAGCTTCCGTGGAAGACCTCCGACAGTCAAAAAAGTAAAAATAAAGATAAAATACAATGCATATATAAATAAATAAATAAATATATAGTTGATCAGTCTTCATATCTTTTCTTCATATATGCGTCTGTAATGGAAGTAATCCCTGCAAATAAATCTCTGCATAAAAAATCTCTGCATATAGACAGAAACGTAAGACCCGACTAAATTTAAAAAGAGGAAACATGAAGAGAAGGATATACTGAAGTCAACGATAACAAGCTACAAGAAGGAATAAAGTCAAAATGGGTTAAAACCTAAACTAAGGCAACACTACTCTGCTACCCTAGTTCTAAGCCTTCATAAATTCCAATAACAGAAACGTATATGTAAATTACTACAAAGGCATTAAAAGAAGATAGAGATGATACATCCTATGGATGTGACCCGCACTATTCGGCTACCCTGATCTTAAGTCTCCATACTTTCATATCAGAGGTCATGTCCTCGGTAAGGGCTAAATCCTTCAAATCAGATCTCAAGCAGTCTTCCCACTTCCGCCTTGGTCGTCCTCTCCTTCTGGCACCGTCGACTGTAATCGACTCTACCCTCCTGACCGCATCCGACATTTGTCGCCTAAGGACATGCCCAAACCACCGTAGTCTTCCCTCCCTCAATTTTTCGGATACAGACACCACCCCAAGGACATCCTAATAGCAGAGTTTGGTGTCATGTCCCACAGAGTCCTATCACATGTCCATCGAAGCATTCTCATTTCTGTGGTCTCCATCCTCTTTACGTGATCCTTCTTGATTGCCCAACATTCTGATCCATACAGCAGCGCTAATTTTATTGCCATTCTATAAAGTTTTCCCTTAAGTTTTAGAGGCACCTTCTTGTCACACAAAACTCCAGTAGCAGCCCTCCAGTTTAGCCATCCCGCATTTATATGGTGTGTAACGTCATCATCCACACCCCCCATCTTTATGTATCATAGACCCTAGGTACTTGAAACAATCTTTTGAGGGGAGAACATGTCCTTCTATGCATACTTCTGCATCTTTATCGTTTTGGTTCCCACTGAAGTTTGAACATAAATACTATGTATTTTCAATATTGATCCTTAGACATTTTTCTTCAAAAGAAGTCTTCCAGGTAGCTAGTCGACTATTCAGCTCAGTTTTTGTTTCAGCAACTAGGACAATGTCGTCAGCGAAAAGCATACACCATGAAACATTGTCTGGTGTCGCACAATAGATGTCGTCCATAATCAACCTTTACGCTTACCAGTAGAGTAGGAGAGAAGAGGGAAGAATTGGTTTCACATGCAAACAACCTTTTAATTCATTTTTTTCACCGAATCTTTCTTTGTGCCGTTTGTCCTTTTTCTTTATTAGTTGGTGACAATATTAATTTTGGTGTTAATCATCAATTGTTAATATTTTTTGTCTCTTATTTCTCTATATCGCATATTTTTTCGTTGTCATTTTAGTTTTGGCTTAATATAAAAAATATGTATGAATTATATTTCTTTTTTCATTAAGGTGCCTATTTTTTTTTGATAAATTTAAGGGCCTAACGTTTCTAAAGTTGTCATTTATGTGCTTACGCAGTAACAACTGTTAAAGAAATCCGTTAAAATAAGTCAACCAATCAGTATTTTGACAAGTAACTTAATTATTCTCTTTAGTTTTTCAAAAAATAAAATTCATATTTTTTTTAAAGAAAAACCAAACTTTTTATATTTTTCATAAAATACCTTAGAACTTCAATTCACTCTCTAGCCGTCACCACCACTAACAACCACCCACACACCAGTCCGTCGACCACCCTTCAATTAGGATGAATATGAGTTAGAATTTAGAGATTTAGGGATTAAATATAAGGATTTGAGTTTAAGAATTTTTTGGATTAGAAGCTACGATTGATGGCCGACGGTCGATGGGTGGGGATGCTTTGAGATTAATGATTTTGAGATTTTTTTGAGATTTTAGAAAATTTGAATTTTTTAATAATAATTATTTTAAGTTTTTTTAAATAATTTTTTTAAAATTTTATAAATGCCCCACGTGTCACATTTTGAGTGTTGACGGAATTTTTTAATGGTTGTTACGGTCAAGAGTTCTAAATGATAACATAGGAAACATTAAGCAACTAAATTGACTCAAAAAAAAGTTCAGACACCTAAATGAGAAAAGAGATATACTTTTGAGCACTTTTTAATACTAAACCTTTAGATTTTAATGATTATGTTTTTATGATATGTTTTCCTTTGTCTTTATATCACGTTTTCAGTCTTAGACGTTTGGCCGTTTTCATCTTTTATTTTTTTCAGGGTTGGATTTGACGTCGTCTCGACTGATCAATATAACACTTATTTGTTATCATGTTAATCTGTCTTGTTTTGGACCCTGAGATCGGATTTGGATATGCGATTTGTGTTCGGAGATAATTTTCTCATAATGCACGACTCTAATTTGCGGTTGTCGGTGGTCTTCCAATAGCTTGATATCCTGTTGTGGATCATTTGTTGATATAATAAGATCTATTAACATTTATATTTTGTTCGAGTTTTTTTTGGATGTGTTGTTCACATTTTCCTTGAATGGTCTTAAATGGTTAGTTTGTTGTATCAATGATTATAAGAAATGTCGTAATTATGTGTTTAGTTTATGTTTATTATTATAAACTTTCATTGTAATTTTGAAAATTTTCCTTTTTAATAAAAGTTACTACTTCTATTTGCATCAAAAGCATTGCATGCAAACATCTGAAAATAGAGATGGTTTTTTCTGTTTGGAATATGTTCTTAATACAGATCCTTCACTCTCAGATTCTGCCTTTTGGTATCTTGCCCCATTGTCACAAATTAAGAGTAGGCGATGTGGAAAAGTTGCATGAAGGATAGGGCGACAACCCCACCCTTACATGCTGCACAAACCTTTCAAATAATGTGGCTGAAAATGATGCAGTTTTTGCAGTTAATATGTTTGATGATAATGCACCATCAATACGGCAGAAAGACATAAGTAGCCTACTTCGACCGTGCTTTCTAACAACTGTAGCCGCCATTGATTCTCAGTTTTCGTTTTCGTTCACAAAGTTTGATATTGTTTTGGCTAAGGCTCGAGGAGGGTCCATGTCATGTCATTATCTGCATTAATACAATGGAGCATCGTGCCCTCAACTTGATCGACTGAACTGCCTACATTGCCCGGACCATTTTGCTCTCATGGTTTGGTTGTTTAGAAAGAGTTTATACCTTGTAATGACATTTTGAACACAAATTCAAGAGCGAATGACATCTTTACCAAGCTGGCAAGCTCATGACTTTGGTTATAAATTTTTTGATATTACAGATTTGATCATTTGACCGTAATGTCTATGTTGGATCTAAGGTGTTTACACACATCGTTATGACAATTTGTGGTCATAATTCAGTAGCTTGTTTGGGATGATTTGTAGATAAATGTTAAAAATAATTATTTTCCAATGCAGACAATGGATAGTATTGTCAGGTAAAATGTCTTGTTTTGGTGGATCCTAGCAGGGAATGGATAATTTGCACAAGAACAGCGCAGGTAAAAGGTCTAGTTTAGGTGCCCAAGTGACGATATTCTAACGCCAATTGCTCAGCTGCATAACTTAGACAAAACAGCCAAGGGACCTATGGATCGGACTCTTAACCATCTGGTTTCTGGTATGCGTCTTGTATCTAAATATTGCTGGTGAGACCTGAGATTTGAGTCGGTGACCACGAACACCATTGTCCATGCCATGTGGAGAACTACGATGGATTGCAGACCAAACAAATAAAATAAATATAATTTTTTTATTTAATTATTTGCACTATCCAACACTGTGGGGGTGTAGGTGTAATGGTTCCATCGTATCTCACATTATTCACACACTTTATTAATAGGGACACTGAACAATCATTGCTCATTACCATTAGAAATGCTTTAAGATTTTGATTAAACTAAGCACTGAATATGTTACTTGTTCTTTACACTTATTTCTATTTATAGTAAGTGATTTACATCATTCTCAAAATATGGCTGGCAGAAACTCCCAGGCCAGCCTGATTTCCATGACCCTCAAAAGTGGACCCTGCTAGTGCTAAGGGCATCTCCAATGCGCTGCATTGGAGATTTTCTCCAAATAGAGATGAGAAAGCTCTCCAGCCCTGCGCCACTTCCATCGCTACAGTACCGTGCCATATCTAGCACGGTACTGTAGCTCGCGTTAGATTTATGTTTTTTTAAAATTAAAATATATTAAATTATAAGATAGATAAAAATATATTAAAATCA